TGCTGTGCCTGACACCCACCCACCCCTTCCAAAGGAACTGTTTTGCCGTGTGTGTGTGTGTGCGCGCGCGCGCATGTATGTGTCTGTTTGCTTTCAAGTGGTCAGGAAAAAAAAAGTTTTAAAAAATCCATTGTACCTAGATTTAAGCAGAAGCTAATGATACCTTTTGGCATTCAAATTAAACTTAGAGGGCCGAGTTTAAGGTCCTCGCCTTGAACGCCCCAGGATCCCATGTGGACGCCGGTTCTAATCCTGACAGTTCCACTGCCCATCCAGCTCCCTGCTTGTGGCCTGGGAAAGCAGTCAAGGACGGCCCAAAGCTTTGGGACCCTGCACCCCTGTGGGAAGAGGCTCCTGGCTTCAGATTGGCTCAGCTCCAGGCATTGCGGTCACTTGGGGAGTGAACCATCCTACAGATGATCTCTCCATCTCTCCTCCTCTCTGTAATCTGCCTTTCCAATAAAAAAAAAAAATCTTAAAAAAAATTAAAGTTAGAATGTCAGTATTTGAATACCCTCCCAGACCCAGTTTATGCCTGAACAAACTCCTCATCATGGTGAAAGCTGGAACCTGGGAAACGTAGCGGGAGAAGCCCAAGTCCCTTAGCCCTGCCGTAGACATGGGAGACTGGGTGGAGCTCCTGCTTTCTGTCTTTGGCCTCACTAAGCCCTGGTTGGTGCAGCCCTCTGGGAAGTGAACCAGACAATGGAAGGATGCACGCCCACGCGCGCGCTCTCTCTCTCTCTCTGTAATTCATCAAAGATAAATTTCACTCCATTTGCTGTCAAGGGTTCATATGGGAGCCATATTTGGAGCAGAGAATAAGCCCTCATCAGACTCCCAAGCTGCTGGTCCCTGACTTTGGTCATTCCAACCGCTAGAATTATGACCAACAGGGGCCAATGTGGTGGTGGATCGGGCTAATCCTCTGCTTGAGGTGCCAGAAATGCATATGAGCACTGGTTCATGTCCTGGCGGCTCCATTCCTGATCCAGTTCCCTGCTTATGGCCTGGCAAAACAGTAGAGGATGGCTCAATTCCTTGGCCTGCTATCGCCACATGGGAGACCTGGAGAAAGCTCTGGCTCCTGGCTTCAGAATCGGCTCTACTCCTGCCATTGTGGCCATTTGGGGAATGGACCAGTGGCCAGAAGACCTCTCTCTCTGTCTCTGTGACTCACTGTTGCAGGTAACAGGCCTTGTGCCTGCAGGATGGAAGGAGAGCTTTGGAGCATCTCAGGGTTTAGAAACCCTGAGGTCAGGGACGTGCCCTCACTGGCCCTGAGAAGTGGCTCAGCTCCCGATTGGTTTCTGGCTGCGGGATCAACTAACAGAGGGTGCGTTCTGTTTTTTGAGTCTTTTTTGGAAAGCCTTGTTAGAAGGAGAGAGTGAAATCTTCCATCTGCTGGTTCAGTCTTCAGATGGTTGCAGCATCCGGGATCTGGATACACTGTGTGGGTGAAGGGACCCCAGCACTTGGGGGGCCGTCCTCTGCCCCCTTCCCAGATACTCCAGCAGGGAGCTGGATGGGAAGCGGGGCAGCCTGTACACATACTGGCAGCCAAAAGAGGTGCTGGTTTCACAGGTCGCAGCTCAACTTGCCGAATCGCAATCCCGCCCCCAGTCAGTAGCGCGAACTAGATCTAGTCAGTTTTGCACACTTTCATTTAGATTTGTGCAGCTTCCTTTTTTCTAATATTTATTCTTGTCACTGACTGCACAATGAACATTTGGAACTGTTTTGCTGTCACGTGTCCTTTCCTGCCTCCTCACAGCCACATGCTTCCACATTCCCAACCACTGGCAGCCTCTGATCTCCTCTCCATCTCGACATTGGTTTACAAATGCTTTCTAAATGAAATTAGGGCCTGGCGCAGAGGCCTAGGGGCTAAAGTCCTCGCCTAGAACGTACCAGGATACCATATGGCTGCCGGTTCTAATCCCGGCTGCTCCACTTCCCATCCAGCTCCTTGCTTGTGGCCTGGGAAAGCAGTCGAGGATGGCCCAAAGCCTTGGGACCCTGCACCCATGTGGGGATACCTGGAGGAAGTTCCTGGTCCTGGCTGTGGATCGGCATAGCATCGTTCATTGCGCTCACTTGGGGAGTGAACCATCGGACAGAAGATCTTCCTCTCTGTCTCTCCTCCTCTCTATCTGACTTTGCAATAAAAATAAATGAATCTTAAAAAAAAAAAAATAGAAAGAAAGAAGTTATACCTAAGGGTCCAGCACAGTAGCCTAGTGGCTAAATCCTCACCTTGCACATGCCAGAATCCCATATGGATGCTGGTTCTAATCTCGACAGCTCCACTTCCCATCCAGCTCCCTGCTTGTAGCCTGGGAAAGCAGTTGAGGATGGCCCAAAGCCTTGGGACCCCGCACCCGCATGGGAGACCTAGAAGAGGCTCTGGGCCTCTGGCTTTGGATTGGCTCAGCTCTGGCTGTCGTGGCCACTTGGCCTCTCTATATAACTGACTTTGCAATGAAAATAAAATATTTTTTTAAAAAAGAAATTATGATATTGGCATCCTCCATTCGATATCACTTCCTTAAGTTTTATCCAAATTGTTGTAGGACTCAAATAGTTTATCTCTTCTAAATGTTGAGTAATAGATCATTGTGTAAATTAACAAGGTTTGGGTAACGGTTTACCTACTGAAAGCTGCCTGCGTTGTTTCCAGCTTGGAACTACAAGTAGGTTTCTGGTTAGGCCTACATCCTCAACAACATTTGGGGTTTTTGCTGTCTGCTGTTTGCCACTCTGGTATTTGCATATCTGTGTGGGTTTAGTTCACATTTTCCTGATGGATGAGGATATCGTGTATGTTGTCATGCAGTTATTTGCCATCAGCACATTCTCTTCGGTAAAATACCTGTTTGCGACTTTTGCTCATTTTCTGATTAGGGTGTGTGTGTGTTTGTGTTCGTAAAAGTTTATGCGAAAGGCAGAGTGACAGGAAAAAGCAGAGCTCTCTCTTAGCTACGGGTTCACTGTCCATCTGACCTGTGGCAGGAGCCAGGCTGTCTGTCCTGGTCTCGGAGGTGGGTCACTGGGGCCCAAGCACTTGGGCCATGTTCTGCTCTCTTTCAGTAAATTCCCAGGGAGCTGGATCGGAAGTGGAGCATCCAAGGTTTGAACTAACATCTGCAGCAGCAGCTTCATACACTGTGCCACCACACCGACCCCTAACTATTGAGTCTGTGAGTGAGCTCTTTGTGTATTCTAGATATAAATCTTTTTTGGATACGCAGACTCCAAATGTTTCCTCCAAATTTGTAGAGAAGTTTTGATTTTAACATGAGATCTCCGATTATGGTTTGGTGTTTTTTATGTGCTTGGTTTAAAAAAAAAAAAAAGGAAAGAAAACTTCTGGGGCTGGCATTACGAAGTAGTGGGTAAAACAGCCAACCGCAGCGCTGGCATCTCCTGTGGGCACTGGGTAAGCTCCCACTGCAGTGCTTCAAGCCTAGCTCCCTGTAATGCGTCCGGGAAAGCGGTGAGAGATGGCCCAAGCGCTTGGACGCTGTATCCCTGTGGGAGACCGACCCCAAAGAATCTTCTAGCTTCAATCTTGGCTGCTGTGGCCATTTTGGGAAGTGAACCAGCAAATGAAAGATCTTTCTCTTCCCCCGCTTTCTTTATACCTCAGCCTTTAATGTAAATAAATAAATCTAAACAAACAAAAAATGCAAAAGAAGTCTTCCTTGTTCTGCGTTCATAAAAATATTCTCTAATGTGTGTGTGTGTGTGTGTGTGTTTTCATATTTGAGTTTTTAAAGCATCTGTAACTGATATTTTTGCATTGCATGAGTTGTGGTCCAGTTTTCTTTAGTCTCCAAATGGATACAAGCTGCTACCTGGCCACAGTCCATGGGATGACTCGTTTCTTGGTTGATCCCTAAGTTACGATGCCGCACCCTCACATCATTTCTGCAGATGCGTGCACTTGTCACTGGTCTGTGCAGTGTGCACCTCGGCTAGTCCGTTGGTGTGTTGTGGTAGTTGTACTGTGTCTACAACCACCCTCCCCATGTGTCTGCTCCCCTCTCTCCTAGCAGAGTTTTGTTTTTGTGTTTTGGGTTTTGTTTTGTTTTTTTTTTTAAGCTATTCTGGATCATGTGTATTTCATATACTCTGTAGGTTTTTTTTTTTTTAATTTTTAAATGACTCATTAGGGTTTTCTGTACCAAAAGATGTTATTTGTGTATAGAGAGTTTTATATATTTTTTCTTATTCTGGATGTCTTCCTTTTTTTTCCCCCCCCCTTACCAAATTGCCTTTGTTAGTACGTCAAATACAGTGTTGAAGAGAACCAGCATTTATTCTATATATGCACGTATTCTTCATGTTTGGGGAGAAAGCTTTCATTCTTTCACCAGTATGTATGATTTAGCTGTGAACTTTCCATAGGTGCCTTTTATCAAATTGAAAAGAATTCCGTTCTATTCCTGTTGTTTTGGATTTTTGTAATGAAAAAAAAAAGACTTAAAAAATATTTGTTACAATACATGCTTTATTATATTACCACAACATGGATTAATTTTCTGATGTTAACCTACCCTTGTGTTCCTGGGATGACTCCAGTTCATGGTGTATAGTCTCGTTGAACGTTGATGGGTTTTATTGTTAACCTTATGTTGAGGACTTTTGTATTCTTCATAAGGGACAGTAATATATAGTTTTCTTTTGATATCATTAGCTGGTTTCTGTATCAGGATAATACTCATGATTGGATGCTGGGCGAGCTTCTCCTTCTGCTTCTATTTTAAATAGTTGTGAGGGTTGGCAGTATAGCAGGAAGGCCAACTGGGTTATGCTTTTATTTGAGGGCAATTTTTTTGTATTATTACTCAAGGCAATATTTGCTTAAGAACAATTAAATGTGAATTTTGGTCTCGCAAATAATTATTGATACTGTACTGTCCTGCTGGTCTAGTAATATCCACCTAAAACAAGTCCAGTATGCCTAATTATAGCTTTCTTTTTCTTTTCTCTTGAAGGTGGTAGAGTAATTCTTGAATCAGTGAGCCATGGCATCTAAGAAATTTGCTGTTAAAGTAAGTAATGCTTAATAGCTTTCTTTAAAATAGTTAACCACTTTCTAATGTTACTGAGTTCTGTGCTGACTGGAAACTGAAGTTATAAACTGTCTGGTCTTTACATTTTGGACTCTGAAATGTTTAAATGAACACATTGAAAACTTTCGTATTTTCAGTGTGCACTGAGCACATGAACCGTTCGTATGATGATGAGTAACTCCTTGTTCGAGCCTTCAGATACTTTTGCATTGTAACCTGGTCTTGAACGTTGACATTTGTCACTCCTATTGTGTGTCCATGGCATGGGCTCTGCTAATGATGAAGGCGATTCAAGGGCTAAGTAAAGCAGACAGTGAATGGTGCAGCTGGGTACCTGTGAGGAGGGGGTCCTCTTTCTTCCTCTCTTTCTTCTCTGATCATTGTGTCATCTCTTGGTGGATGGGGTTGACACTCCCAGGTGTGGAAGGGTGGGAGATCGCTGCGTGGGAGGTGATGGGGAAGGCGGGGGAAGAATGGATACAGGATCTTAGAGGTGCTAATCTTTAGGACAGTTGCTGAATTCTAGTGTTATCTCAAGTAGTAAGTTCAAACATGAACATATAGATTGCATTCACTGTTGACCAGATTAGATATCTTGTACTTTTATCTTTCTTTGTACCACATCAGTGTTTTCTTAGGCTTCCTGACACACTTACCGATTTTACCTTTTCCAGGTATTTCTTTTGTCAATATATTGTATATATTTCTGTGAACTTTCACTCTTTGTGAGTATATTTTGGTCTGACTCCAGAAAGATATCTCATTGGTTTTAGAATTGTAATTGAGTGTTACTTTCCTTCAGCACTTTAAAAATACTTTTCCATTGTCTTCTGGTATCTGGTTTTGCTACTATGAAATGCTTTCATTATCTGCTTAAAGACTACATTAAAACCTAGAGGTTTAAAGAAGCAGCCATTTCATTATTTCTCATAATTCTGCAGGTTACTAGGAAACTGTCAGAGGATTTCTCTCTCTCTCTCTCTTTTAAAAACCGTAGTGTTTATGAGACAGACACACACATGCCAAGAGAAAAAGAGAGAGAGACAGACAGACAAAGGAAGGAAGGAGAAGGAGGTGGAAAGAGAATGGGAGGTGCTCATGTGCTGTTTCACATCTCAGACAGCCACGGCGGAGCTGCAGTCAGGAGGAAGGAGCTCAGTGCAGGTTCTGTGTGGGGGTGGTAGCACTTTCAGCACTTCACCAATCAGATGTTGTCTTCCAGGTTCTGTGTTAACCTGGAGCCAGAGCCAGGGATCTAACCGTTACTCCAAAATGGGATGAGAATGTCTTAACTGCTGTCAAGTTCCTGTTTGGTGCTGCCTGGAGTGACAGATTTCTAGGGACTCTGTCTAGGATGCTAAGGACAGATACCTAGGATGCTAGCTGAGTTGTTTTGCTTTCAAGATTTATTTATATTTATTGGAAAGTCAGATATATAGAGAGGAGGAGAGACAGAGAGAAAGACCTTCTGTCTGATGGTTCACTCCCCAAGTGACTGTAAAGGCCGGTGCTTCCTTGATCTGAAGCCAGAAGCCAGGAACTTCCTCCAGATCTCCCACATGGTTGCAGGGTCCCAGGGCTTTGGGCCATCTTCGATTGTTTTCCCAGGCCACAAGCAGGGAGCTGGATGGCAAGTGGAGCAGCTGGGATTAGAACTGGCACCCGTATGGGATTCTGGCGTGTTCAAGGCAAGGACTTTAGCTGCTAGGCCACTGCGCCATGACCGCTAGCTGAGTTCTGAGGGCTGGTTTCCTAAAACAAGAGTTGCAAGGTGGAGGACATGCAATTTGTCATTCTCTGCAGAAATCTCAGCTGTGTTCTTTTGGCCAGTGCCCAGATCAAGGCAGTCTTGACATAGGTTTGATTTTGTGAGTGAGTGGCTTGGGATCCAGGGAGCATCTTAAGTCTAAAGACAATTTATCAATTTTGACAAATTCTTAACCATTTTTTTCCTGGAGGTATTATTTTCCTTATTTACTCTGCTGATCCCTCCCCTTCATCTGAAGTTTGTTGGATAGTGTCGTGTGACCGCTTCTGATTTGCTGAAAGAGTCAGGTTAACTTGTTCAGGGCTGATCTTCAAAGACAGTCTGCTCAGAAATGGACAGAGCTTCTCAGAAGACTCTTCTGAAACTGCATGGGGCCTGATAGCATGGACTGTCCTACTCAACCACTAGCTTGGAGGTCATGCCCCTGGTCAGGTCATAAGTAGATCCGTTGATTTCTAACCCATACTCATGGAAGTGGCAGATTGTGCTAATAAATGTCACATTTTAGATTGGCATCCACAAGGCTTGGAACCCAGTTACTAGATGGTTGACAGGCAAGGGAGCTGCCTCAACCGTGAGGTTCAACCAGGCAGGATGGAAATGTGTCTATTTTTCTCTCTAGATATTCTCCAGAATATTTGTAATAGTTGGTAGATATTATTATAGTCTATATTTTGGACCTACCAACTAAACATGTGGATTCCTGCTGGGTTCCTAGAATCTATCAATTAATAGAGTCCTTATATGAACATGAAGTATCCAGTCACTGTCTCATTGTTTCTTTTAGTTACAAATGGACACTTGGATATCCTTACGAATTCAACAGGAAGTCAGATGATGCAAAGAAAGAGAATAAAGTGAATGAACAAACTTATGTCAGAGAGATGCCTGGGAGCAAAGGTGAACAGTGTCATTATTTGTGTCTCTGACTAGAAAGAGGAAGATACTGTAACAGGGCTGTGCTATTATGACCAAGGGGTATTCCTGAAAACTAGGAAAGAACTTTTGGAACTTAAAAATATTATGGAAACCCAGAACTTCAATAAAACTTGGAAATTCAATCAAAAAATACAGCCTGGAAAGTAAACCAATCAGATGATTGATTTTTAAAAAAAAACATGGAATGAAAACATAAGAGAATTAGAGATGTAGACTTGATAGGAACATTTGGACTTCTAGAAGGAAGAGCAAGACAAAATGATATAAAGGAATACTATAAAAAAAATAATACAGCAAATTTTACCAGCTTGTGAGACACAGTGTTCTAGCTTGGGAGAAATAGTGAATGAGTTCTCACTCATCAACGAAAAAGTGTTTTACAAAGGCCTATGGTTTGAAGTTTCATAGAGAAGATCCTAAATAAAATTTGCATGCAGGTGACCCAGTAGAGAGCAGCCCTCTCCCACAGCTAGACAATAATCCAGGAATTTCCAACCCAGAGTCCCCAAGAGGCCAACCTTCAATCACACAGGATGGCAAAATAGAGATATATTTTTTCAGAGATTTAATGTCTAAAAAAATTCCTTCTGATACAGTAGGACTATAATATGGGGGAGGAAATAGAGAAAAAATCAGATACAATGTCCAGCCGACAGGGAATCCAACAAGTACGCGAATCCCACGGGAGGTCTGTGTACTGTTATCAGGCGTGGAAACCACCACCGTCGTTGGAAAAGAGCAGAGGCTTTCGAGAAAGATGACTTCAGCAAAAAGGGAAATGGATAAAATATCTTGTACATGTGACTGCATCAAGGAGGTTTTGTTTAGGCCTGTCAGAGAACCTCAGAATGATTTGGTCCTAGGAATATGATAAACTAAGTGATGCAACCCTCAAGTGTAAGTAAACAAGAGATTATACAAGATCAGAAAGCAAGCATCACACCCCACCAGGCTCATGTTGGAACAAAGGTTACATTTCACAGTGTGGTGAACTCCCAAGTTTTGGAAGGCTGGCAAAAGAGACATGCGGAACAGTTGGATGTAAGTGTCAATTTTCTTTTCCATAGTGGGATGTAAAGCTGAAATAATGAGAGATTGTAGTACAAATGTAGTGTTTAGAAATACGGTAGTAAACACAGCTCAAATAGCTAAGTTTGTTTGTCCTGGTGGTTAGAGGGTGAGAGTGGGATAGGGCAGAAGAAAGCTGTTTTTGATATTATCGTTTTAGTTTGTCCAGGCACTATCAAAAATGTTAACAAGTAAAACTTAAAGGAAATTAGTTTATATGTGTGTGTGTGGGTGTACATATGTATATATATATATCTATATATATACACACTTCATAGATGCATCTACTTTTGACTTCTTTGAGAAGACACTTGGTTAGAAAATAGCTTCCTAAACAAAACTGATGGACAACGAACAAGCTGCGATTTGCATCTGAGTTGGTATTAATTGTACAAGCAAACAGTTTATTCTTTTTCAGATGAAGAAAAGTCTCTTGTCTTCCGACTTACAGGGCGTGTTTTTCTCTCTGACTGTTGTGGCCTTGACATTGAGTTCGTTCTTCTCAGAGCGACCTGCCTAAGAAGAGAGTCCCTGGCCTTATGACTCCCAAGCTCTCCTGGCTTGTGCTCCGGCACAGCTTGTTGGCAGGGACGTTCGTCTCTTCTTCCATGACTGCTGTTGTAGCTGAGAGGAGTGGCAGCGGCAGGCGTGTACCTTGCTTGAAATCTGTAGCACTCTGACACCCAAGCCTTGCATCCTTCCGTGGCTTTTTTTTTTATCTCCAAAATTCTAAATTCCTTCTGTTAGGGGAAAGGGTTAGCTCAGAAGTGCACGTCGTACTGCCCACATGCCACCTGCTTGTTTCTGTAAGGAAAGTTGTTTCGGAGCACAGCGAAGAGGCAGAGTTGAGTATATCACACCGAAGATCTTACTGCCTGCAGAGTCTGAAATGAGTAAGTATACATTGAAGCATGTGCATCTGTATCTCCTACCCAACATCTCTATCCCCATGAGCCACATTGTAAATTCAGTTTGCAGAGGTGGCTGGTAGCAGGTGAAATGGAGAGCACACATTTAAATCATTGTTTCTTTGTGTGCTTTTGCTGCCTTGAGCCTTGCTAGAATAAGCATTTAGTGAAGTTTTGGGGTTTAAACTGATTGCAGGGATCGGGGTAAATTAGCAAGACCCTACGCCTGTCTCCTTTTCGTTTACAAGAAAGTAGTAGGTGTGGACACAATGTATTAATCATGGATGTTTTTGCAT